TGCCAGTGTGCGTATTTTATTGAGCGACCGAGCGGAAGTGTCTCTCTTTCCCTCTCTCTAACCGTTGATAGTCGCCTGTGCGCGGTTTGTTGGACATTTATGAGAGCAGCTAGAGAAAATGAGGTTCATCGCACCTTGTTCATTGTGTCTGCCTACGCCCCAACTGACTGTATCTGTGAATCTGCCAAGGACAGTTTCTAGGAGGTTCTAGGTGTCCTTCTACTGCTGGCTTAAAGCTCAGGCTTCGTTGTGGATTGTGGTGACATGAACGACTATTTAGGTAGACTAAGTGCTATTGAGGTCTAATTAGGGCGTTGGATACCAGACGCACGGCAACGGAAAGCGCCTGCTTCAGATGCGTGTGCCGATCACATACTGTTCCTACGCAATATCAATTTCCGTAACTGCTAAAATCGCTTGATGACATGGTGCCTACCAATGAAAAGCCCCGAATCCAAATAGACCACATCTCTGTCGGTTACCGGTGACAAAGTTCAATCACTACCTGTCGCTCTTTCTGGAATACCAGCTTGGATTCCCACCATGCACTTGTGCGGTGCTGCTTTTCAGGTCTGCAAAACATACAAACCTCGTTTGGCCGTTGAGAAGCTCGTGGACCCAAAAATCAGACGAACTTATCAGAACTGACTCCTCGGACGACTGCCGGATGATCTGATGTCGGATATCAGTGGCCACTGGGAACAGATATACAAAGCGTCACTCAACGCTGGGACTTCTGTTTCCGGTACAACCCAACCAACCTCATTCAAACACTGGATTTTTAATAGGACTGTGGCTTTGTTGGAGGCCCATCGACAAATTCCTCCGGGCCGCAATCACAACTCAACGTGACACATCATCCGACGCCAGTTAAAACTGAGCATCCGTTCAGGCCGAGAGGCTGAAGAAATGGAATGTGCGGATTGTGCTAGAAATATCCGCAGTTTGTTCCACTTGATTCGTTCTGCTGGTCCCCGGAAGCTTCTTTTCAGCGAATTTATCAGAGAGCAGAATGGCTATCTGATATCCAGCAAACAGGAACTCTTGGACCGTTGGGTGCAACGCCACGAAGAACAATTCCGCTGGCCACCTGCTATCCCAAATCCGGACTGTAAATAATGGGCACCATGCAGCCTCAGAAGCATCAATGGAATGTATTGTGCTAGAAATATCCGCAGTTTGTTCCACTTGATTCGTTCTGCTGGTCCCCGGAAGCTTCTTTTCAGCGAATTTATCAGAGAGCAGAATGGCTATCTGATATCCAGCAAACAGGAACTCTTGGACCGTTGGGTGCAACGCCACGAAGAACAATTCCGCTGGCCACCTGCTATCCCAAATCCGGACTGTAAATAATGGGCACCATGCAGCCTCAGAAGCATCTGAATGCATATTTCTGCTCAAGCTTCGTCGTGCTCCTAGTCCTGATGACCTTCCACCGGTGCCCATCTAGCCTATTTCAGTCCCTGTGAGACAAAGGTACCGCCCCAGGTGACTCGGGTGAGTCAACGGTGGTGCCCATTTCCAAAAGAAGTGCTCGTAATGAGTGTAATGTCGGACTCTTCGTAATAGGGATTCTAGCGTCAATAATTCCTCGTCTTCTTACGGTGGCATGTGAAACCTTGACCCGGGAGTACCAAGATGGATTATGAGGGGGTATGGGGCTGTGTTGACCAGTTCTTCACACTCCTTCCGGCAGTAGAGCAATTCTATATGTACAGATGACCCACAATTTTAATGTTCCTTGGCTCCATGGGCGTGTTCGCCTCTGTCCATTGGCCAGTGCTCTTAACTACACTTGCTCAGCAAGGGACGCTGCAGAAGTTTATAAAGATAATCCGATTCCTACTTTGGGGCGTGTAAGAGCGTAAGGTTAGTTCTCTAAAAGCTTCCGTACAAAATGTTGTCCGGCAAGAATGCCCACTCTCCATTCTTGCTCATCTTCGTCATTGATGAAGTAATGAGGTGAAGGCTGGAAGATATTCAAGACCTCGATGTTCTGATCGACGACCTGGAGTACGACATCGTCCTCATCTTTTGAGACGAGGCCGGAACACAATATTCGTTGAATAAACTTACCACCATCTTACAATCTTTCGGGATGCCCGTGAACCCTTAAAGTGCGAGGTCATGCTTCAGAACAGACAGTCTCCAAGCATGCCCGTTGCGATTCAAAGAGGTTCACTAGAGACTGTCCTTAATTTTACATAACTCGCGCAAACGTGTGTTTGATGAAGTCAGTCCACGAACCTCAAACTTATGAATCACATTTGCTCAGTTGCGTCACTTGTGGTCTGGAAAAAAGGTACAACCGCGTCTCACGGGTCGCGTGTACCAAGCTACGGTAAGGGCTGTATTGTTGTGAGAGATGGTCTCTGCGGACAAATGGTGTGAGCTGTCCTCGGGCTTTTGACCACGGATGCATCAGAAATGACAATTTCTGTTGGGTGGTGTCAACAGATTCGTAACGAGATAATTAGAAAACGGGTGCTTCAATCTCGGAAAACATCCAGCACCACCAATTACGGTGGCTCGACTATATGCCACGCATGCCGAAATATCGTACTGAGACGAGTGTTGTCCTTCGTGCCTCTTTCAAAATGGCACAAACCGCGAGGTTGCTGTTTCATTGTCCTTCGTCTTTCAAAATGGCACAAACCGCGAGGTTGCTGTTTCACTTGACATAATAGTGTGGAAGAGATTCCGGATAGTTTCGATGGATGTGGTGCGGTCATCCCTTTAGGCTGAGGTCCTTGTAACCCTTGCTGCCCTTGGCTGGAGACATTGCAAGAAATGGCGGCTGGTCGATGTTAGTGGCGTTCGTGTTGTCACTTTCTTTCCAGGCTTTCTGACAAATCGCCAGGAGATGGTTGTACCAGGCACAAAAGTTATTGTGACTTGTTGGGACCAGCGGGCACCGGTATACTTCACTCGACCAAGCTTATCGGCATTATGCTGGATGAGGTTTGCGTGTCGGCAATGTTGACTCAGGTCAATCGTCGTCGAAAGAGAGCAGGAAGAATCGGCGTAGACCAGTTGGGCGACCATGTCCGTACCAATACTTTCATTGTCGTGAACTCGCTATTGGGCTACCAAGCCAGCTTTCGATTTGCAGCACTTGCCACATTCCTCACACGTGAACTCCATGGGTCTCCCCTGTGCACTGGTTGGAACTGGTGCCTCGGCGCCAGATGATTCGTAGTGTACACTGTCGAAAGTAACCAATACATTGAAACCAAACAGGGTGATTAGCTCTGTCTGGAGTTGCTGAGTTCTTAGCTCACCCAGACTGACGTCCGCCCACGAGGAGGTGGTTCAGCTTGCCGCAGCTTTCCCCCTAATCACTAGGAATTTGGAGAAAATTGAGCTTTATTTCGAGCCATAGAAATTTTTGGTGATTACATATCCACAGGCAGTTTCTCAAACTTCACTAACACGGATGAATATATTGCATTCTGTGAACAAAAACCGGTCGCCGTTGGTTTAAAAGGAGCAAATCGAAGATCATTCATTCGCGCATTGATGGTTTTTTCTCGATTGGTGACAGAACGTTTGCAAACCAATTGGCAAGCTCTGTGAACAGATCAGGCGCACCCAACCTACTAATGTTTTCGATGCATTGTCCATAGTTATCCGTTTCAAGCTCATGTGACGTTTTTACATGCTGACTCTTTTTTGGGAAATGCGCGCACACTGCGTGCAGTCGCATGAAGTAGTCAGGCAGTTGAAGCTCTCTGAAAATACAGAATCACACGTTTGACACCTACGTTCTGCACAAGCGCAAGAAGTCATGACTTCATTCGTGGTAGTTGGACCTGCTAGACAGGGGTCTAAGTTCCGAAACTTATTCAGATTACACTGTTTTTTGCACTGGACGTCTCGTGGAAGTAAAATAAAAACGCATGGCTGCTCTTTTAAAGATTGGGCTACCGAAGGAGGATAGACAGAACATATGTTCACGGGTCTACTCGGACACAACCAGACTACCTCAAAAAAGAGAGTCCTTTGGGCCTTTCTTCATTGCCCCCGTAGAGGAGGTTATATTTTATTTCGCATTGAGCAGCACCCAGCTACCAAGTACTTATACGATGCTGTAGAAGTACTTGGTCGTAACTTAGCCTTCCGGCTGCCTCGATCGGCTGCAGAATTTGTCTTGCTTTCTGTTCGATATGCTTAGTTTGCATATGTCTTTTTGATAGTGTAAATTATTAGCTTATGGTGGTTCATACGTCTTTTGTTCTCGCATATTTTTGTCTTTAGTGATCAATGTCACCTTGCCGGATGAAAAAGAAAATTATGTCCATCGAATTGGTCGCGTTGGCCGTGCCGAACGGTAAGGGCTTCGCATCAATTTCAGCCCTCTAACTTACCCTCCATGCAGACAACTTCCTTTGCGTCTGTTTATTTTTGTCCTCACCCTGTCGCGGCGCTCCTGTTCAATTCAAAACTATACCATCGTTGTTTCCCTCGCCGAAGAGTAGTGGAAGGTGTGCCTCACAGCATAGATATACTCATGAAGCCACCTCAGGCAAGAACAAACAACCGATAATGGCTCCCAAAAACTACATCGATACTTCACGCTTCTCAAGTGAGGTTCAACTTTTGGTTTGACTGCTGTTCATTCATTGGGCCTGCGACAGAATGCAACACACTGTTGAAATTATAAATCAGATTATCACGACACTCCACCTTTTTTATTAGGGTTACCATACTGCCGTGTAGCTGGCCAACTGAACACTGGAATGCTTCAAAGCACAAGTCACGGTTATGGCACATAGATAAAGTGTATGGATGCATTTTCACATTGGAATACCATATTTCATACTCAGCCCTCGAGTATGCAAAGAAGAATGACGTCGCTTTCCGAATCCCCAAAACTGGCTAAGCACTCTCATTATCCATATTTGTATCACACTGGCCCCAAATACTGATAGCCAAGCTCAACCCTCAGCAAGCAAGCACAAGTAGGGCGCTTCAGCATGTGAAGTATGTTCCCCGCTATGCTGTCTCGGCAAGTAGCAAAAAGCACGGGTTTTCTAGTAAAACACAAGCGTACGTCAAAAGGACACATAAGCCACCCATCGTTCGCACGCACGTGAGTGTGCTACGCGTTCCCACAGAAACTGAACCTTTTTGGATGCTCCACCAAAGGTTTCATACTACCTTGTCACTCCAAATTGTTGTGGCTTTATATTTAGGGTCTTGAAGTTCATCAATATAATATGTTCTTCGTATTCTCAGAGCTCCAGACGTTTGAGAGGATACGGAGGACTCTCCAAAAGCTTCCGTGGCCACATTTAGTGTCCGCCAAGGATGCCCACTCTCTCCATTCATATTTACTTTCGTGGTCGATGAGGTACCGGACCAACACTGGAGGTTCTTCAAAACAATGGTGTTTAAATAACTGCTGTCACCTACCGATTAGGAAAAATCTCAGTGCTGTCGGTGCGACTTTCCAGGATGAGGACCGCGTGGTCGCACTGCGCCTGGTTGGAGACGCCGCAAAATATGACTGTTAATCGATGATAGTGGTGTTCTTGTCAGTTTCTATTCAGATTGTATGAATGGTTGTAATTTTCTAACTCTGGGTCCCTTTCCGATAAACTTTTATTCGCAGTGGCTTATTAGGTGACGGTCCCGAATGCGGAACATGTGGTTTTTTGTTACTTTACATGACTGTGAGTGGTTTATTGTGTGACAAGGTATTTCACATGCTATCCCGTCTTTAGGTTTTAGAAATTCCTCTGATAAACTTGGGGTACTAGCTGGCTGAACATAAGCCCATCAAGATGGGTCATGGTAGATGATTAGTTAGTCTGAATAGTGATTTCGTGAATGTATCGCATAGACAGTTCACTGAGGAATGTTCACCGTGCCCTAATGAAGAGTCCAACCACTTGGTTTACCACTCACCGAAATCCGTGAGGATTTCACCTTACACTGGAACCCTGTCAAGCGGTAAAATGAAGCTCTGAAGCACAGAAGTAAGCATATTTTTGCCACTAAGTGAACACATCTCACATTGAAGGTCTACAGAAAGTTCGGTATAGGCAAAGGTTGCGTCAATTGACGCATGCACATCTCCAATTATCCCTTTCGGAGGCTATGATGAAGTTTCCTGTGAACCAGAAGATAACGAACACCAAAAAATCACCTGCGCATTAATCAAATTTATCCATAGTGAGCACTCGCTCACCGCCAGTGCACCTATTGGCTCATCGCAGTTGCAGTTTAAATTCTTGGACAAAATATTGATCGACACACCTTCCATACCAAATAATGTGGGTGGCTGAAGTTGCGTGATCGGTCTTCCATATGATCTTAAGTAGTAAGGTGCAGCTTGGCGATACCGTAAGAAAAGCGCACTGTTCAGTGGTTTTGGACGTTTGTTTGCAACACGTGATGGTCATTTCCTGATACGTTTCAATGCCCGGAATCGAAAAGTACAGGCTGTCCGATGTGACAGCCACGGAAAGCTGTCGATAGTATGAAGCAAACTATCACACACGTTCAGAATCTCTTCGAAACGTTCAGTCCACTGAAAGATGAACGGTCCGCATGCGACTACTGTGATAGAAATGCTGAAATCGCAAATTTTTGTGAAATTCGACTGCGTTCATAATGTTAGATGGATACTCATATTCGTACATTCTGTTCTTCTTTCCAACAGAATGGGTCTAGCCATTAGTTTGGTATCAACAGTGAAAGAAAAGGTATGTTACTTTTTATGTTAAATATTACGTAGTGATTTGGGTATTTTTTCAATTCTCTTCACACATTTGGGAATGTTCACTTTACGAACGATGTTTCAAGATCAGCTTCGTAAAACGACTTAGTGCTCTCTGTCCGGTCCCGTTAGCCCGTAATAATTGAACTAATGGGCGAAATCATTCGCTTGATCGTCATCAGCAATCCAAGACTATACACTCAAGGCTGCCTATGTTGTCCCATAGGCTACTGTCTATAGTTTGCCAGAGGTAAATTCACTTTCACTTTTCGACAACTACTCTCATTTGCACACTTGCAAACTTGGATTTGACAGGAGACCCAACTGAATCCAGCTGATTCTCTCGTTTGTGAAGTTCGGCTTTAACTGAATATGTGGCACCAGGCCGCCCCATGTTTGATTTGGCACGATACCCGAGATATCGCAATACTTTATTGACTGTACGTAACATACCACTCGAAATGTTGTTGAAAACTCTTCGGCAGCCCACGATCGTCGTAAACGAGAGATTCAACTGGATTCAGTTTAGTCTCCTATTGAGCCGAATGCGTGTGCAAATGAGAGTATTTACCGAAACCTATCCAACTTGGGTTCAAGTAGAACATAAGGTTGACGGAAACTCAGGGCTGAGCCTACTTGATGAACCCCATGAAAAGCGAAACCGGTTGTCAGCAGTCGAAAATTTTTCAGCAACCTTATGAGTAGTATGTTAGGTTCAGACATTCACTTCGTTCACTGGTGTTAAGTTCTGTAGGTTGTTTATTTTTATAGAACTGACTTCGATTTTCATACAGATTTCTTTGTCTCTAGCCTTTCTCACTTTGTTGTACAGCGTGCTAGCTCGGACAGCTACTTCTTCTGTGTGAACAGTCAACAGCACAATATCTCACGAGTCCTTTTGCACTGGAAGTATGTATGTTCGATGTAGAATGGATTGCCTATGAACTATAAATGTATAGTTAGCTGTGTGATTGACTAGTATGGATGTAAACCTGTCGTTTTCGCTACCCAACTCTCCGCTTTACGGCTTCTCAGAGGTGGTGTGCCTATGGTTATTATTTCTCCACTTGGTGTTCTCGGCAAGCTTTTTATACATATGACATATTTTATCTCGCGACATTTGTTTATGGAGTTGCCTTCTTCTGGAGTGACCATCTAAGTGAGCTGGTAGAGTATTTTTTCGGAAGGCAGGGAGAGGTCAGTGGGAGGCAAATACCACAAAGGGAAGGTATTTTTCGTAAAGAAAAGCCTACTTATGGTAGCAGACTTTATCCCAGCACACTCTATTTTCTGGCGTACCTGAAATGAAACATCTACAAGCGTAACTATTTTCTCCTTGGTAAATCCCGAGCACGTTGCGGAGCGTCCATTTCTAAAGATGATTTCGACTTTACCGCAACAATCTGTCGTCCTTTGTCAAATTTCGTCATAACTGCATTAAGGTTTTCTGGTTACCGTCAGTTAATTCCCGCCTTTCTTCCGGTATACAGTCCTTGTTATTGTAGTGTCTGTCGTTAATGGTGGGTTTTTTCAGCGGGGAAGTGCTGGGAATTCCAAAGACGAGTCTTCCGTAAATCTGTTATTTGCGGTCGCCTTATTGACCAGTTGAAAATCACTGTGTTACAATGCATGATAAGTGACAATCACGTAGTATGGACTTATCAATGTCTATCCAGTGTGTCCTTGCAGAGCTTCTGCTTACCTTCAGGTTTCATGGAAGTTTGCAGATGCTAATGGATTCTCATCGATCGATGACAATGCACCAGTAACTGAAAGACACGGAACTCGTTTCTGCTTTTCCGCCCATCTTTCTCACCTACTGTGTGTGTGTATGTGTGTTCTGCGTATCTCGAGACACGCACGCCTGTACGCTTGTATGCCATTGAGTTGCCCAAGCCGTCAATCCATGTATGAGAAACCGTATCCCTCCTCTCCTTCCTCAAACCTCTTCAGGTTTGGTACCATTCCAATTGCCCAACTCGTGGTCGGGGGTGTTACAACACGCGGTTGGTAGAACACGGTGGCTGTTGCATATGGTATAACGAGCCAAATTTGCTGGGTGATATTGAAGAGCATCTTGGAATCACCATCGATGCAGTGGATTCGAATCTGTTAGTTCAGGCAGACGCGTTTGACGGCAAGGTTGTGTACGGTCAAAAGTTGAAACAATGTGAGTCATCTGTGTATGAAATTAATCAGCAGTCGCCCTTTGGTAGGAGTCGTAACCTACAGGAGGTGAGGACGAACGTTTTACATCCGGCTGTTTTCTTCTTATTAGACCGTCACTGTTAATGGCATTCAGGGCAAGACGGATAAAGGTCAAATGAAAGGGGCAGTCATGTGATTAACACCTTAGTGATTCAGTTTGTGTTGTGGAGAGTGGATGTGTTTGTTATAGGAAAATCGCTGGAAATAGGTGACTCCTTAACACCTAACGAGTTGTTGCTTCTGACCTTTTGGCGCCATTAGCCACATTTTAACAGACGCATTTTGCACCTGTTCCTTGCTTTGGGCGGAATTGCCCTTCGATGTAGCCTACTGCAACCTAATCTGCAACCAGGCTACCATGACGAGATACCCAGGCTACAAGCTATGCTTATTCTCACAAGGAAACTTGGTTCAGCACTTATTGTTGTGTGAAGTCTAGGCTTTGCGCTAATGACTCCAGTTTCTCGCTATCATTCGTTCTTGTGTTTAATCATTCGTCATTTGTTTCCCTTCAGTGGCACCCAAATATAAAACCCACGTGGATGTCCTGGCCTCGGCTGTCAAGGAACTCAATCAGTTAGAAAAGAAGACACAGCAGAGCTATTTACGCTTGAAATACGCCGGAGAGATCACGGCCTGAAAACTGATGCCTCCCCTTCATTGACCAAATCTTTCATTATCCCTCCAGCTGACTCATACGCCTTTGCCCTCTGTTCCTGTTATCCCAGTGATCTAATTTCCATATAAATGAAGACGACTTTACCGATGTTTGCCTACCACATCCATTCTTAGCGTGTGGCGCAAAGGGCTTTGAAAACCTGCAGGTATTTCTCGCTGTGTATCAAAGAATCCATAATGCTCGTTTTGCATTTTAAGACAGTTGTTTCGAGTCGATGAAACAGTATAACCCAAATAAGCATATCTTGCAGGAACAAAAGATGGAAATACTTCCGAGGGCAATGGACATGTCTGATGAATACGCACTGATGGCTAACCAAGTACCGGTACATTCTGTAATCAGGAATATTTGGTAAAACTACCCAGTCATAGTAATCCGGCGTATGTTGTCACACACAGAGGCCCATTTTATCCAAAAGTCGGGAACTCGTCAAGTGTTTTACGATGCGGCGAAATGACAGCCTCAAATCTGAGTAAACCACCACAGGGACTGACAAACGAGATCACCTGATTAAATGGTGAATCAGCTGAAAATCCAACGCTATACGTTGAATCGAGTCTTTTGAGTCCTGAAGGTTGTGCACCGAGAAATCGTACGTTATCCGCCACGGGAGAGGAGTGATTTAGTTCAGCTCGAGAAAACGACTGGGAGGTTGGTGGCTTGCATCGACCTTTCCGTTTTTAGTGCTCTCATGCTGGCCTGGCTAGCTAGCTTTGTGTTATCTTTCGTAAGACTTACAGGTGGGATAGCAGTTGTGCACCGAAAGTACATCTCGGTCAGACGAATTGCTTTGTTTATCAAGAGGGAACAACCAGTTATGGGATCTGTGAGGAGTCTTTCGGTCCCTGACGAGATGCGAAATTGGTGGCAATAATCAGTCACTTTCAACATCCACTTAACCGATGAGTTTTCGCAACAGTTTCCACATAGTTGGTTATCCTTTGTCTACTTCAGCACCTCAAGCTAATATCTGTCCTTACTCACACCAGTGTACATATAGCCATTGTCCTCTCACTGTGTGCACGGTCGTCAGCCAAGCGTTGATGGACAGTCAGTTTTTCCCTACTGACGTGGAGCTTGAGGAATGCATTTACTGACGCTCCTGCATACGTTAACTTGTGGCTTGGAGTAACCGTACATCGGTTTGACCTAGTGTTGTCATAAACTTCGATACATAGCATGCACTGAGCTGAAGTAGGTAGAATTCTCAATAGGAAAATGAAACAGTCACTGGGTGACAGGTGGTCATGCAATTACCGAATGTAAGAAACGGTTGAACAAAACATGTAGCAGAACTCTCCAAGTATTATGGCTCAATTAGGAGAGTGCATCATCAGAAAGGGGAGTTTCGACATGGCTCAGGGCTGCGCTCATTGTGTCAATGTTTAAAGCAAAGAGCCACCAACTTTACCCAAACACTATGGAGGTACTGGCCCACTGATTTGGGAAGACAAGCTACTGGCACAAATCACAATCACTTGACTGCTGAACACATCGAAGTCGGCGTCTCAGAAGGTGATCGCAGTATAACGGTTATGGTTTTCTCTGCAATATACGTTCAAGAAGACTCCTGCGAACATTTGCAAACCCTACATGTGGTTTGTGTAGACTCCACTTTTGAACGAGGAGCTCTCTCTCTCTCTCTCTCTCTTCCATATGATGGAACAGGAGCAAAGCGATAGGTCTGCGAATCAACTGTAGATGGTCTGGAACTGAACTATGTCCTTATATCCTGCCTTTCGATCTCCAGGTCATTAAGAAGTGGCTTTCCCGGAGGATGGTGGTGATGTAGTGTTCAATTGTCAGGCGCTTCGGTGTAGAAATCCTGATCCAACATCAAGTTTTGCCTTCTCTATCCACTGAAGTGCATATCTTCGCCATTAACAATCCCTGGCCCGAGTGAACACAGGTCGTCTAACATAATCAACAAGCCGGAATACTCCCTTTTTACCGATTATTAATAGCAATCCCTGATTTGTTAATGTGAGGCAATCCGAAGACCTTAAGTTAGTACTGGCAGTGACTTTGGACGTATGTTGAGAAGCCTACCCCGTCTTCCGATCGGATATCGTACAGGTTGAAACGGTCTCCTAGATAGGTCTCTTTCGACTGTAAATAGCATGCGCGATCATTCATATCTTCAACTAGTGCGACATCGGACCGCGGTGTGTGCGAAGTAAACCATGCAATGATCGACACTCGGTTGGCTCCTAGCTGCAATCTGTGCCTTCATAGATGGCCGTTTACTATTGAGTACCTGGCTGAAACTTCGTTTTTGTGAATTATCAAGATTAATGTGGCTATCCCATGCGTGTGCAGTCATCTCAGTGTGTAAATCTTATCACGGTGTTGTGGAGCTAATCGGTGTATGAACCTCGTAAGTTTACATTGGACTTTGTGTCACCGTCTCTTTACTCAAAAATGTGGTTTATACTCTTCACTAGTTGCTGGACATTTGCGATGACATCTGGTACGAAAACAAAGAAGCTGAAATTCCGATAACAGCTTCCGATGCGTTATTAGTTTTGAGCATCAGGGGTTGAATCTTTAAGCGATGCTTTGCGTGAATTTATTTGTGAATTTATTTCAGTAGCAATAGATCGTGCAGTAAAGCAAGCCAGAAAATACTTTGAAAACGATAGGTTCACCTTCAATGTCTTATTCATTTCTCATTCCTTAGGGTAAGTTTCAAACTAAAATGGGAACACGTGAGCGCATGGCATATTCATTTTATATGGCGCCAAGAAAAGGCAGATACGTTCCATTCTCGATTTCTCTTCGTTCTGATTCACGTGATCGAAGTGCTGTATGATTAGGATACCCATTTGCCACGGTCACGTGAATGCCCTTACGATTCTGGTATAATTCTGATACGTTCAAACGTCGATTCTTATTCATTAAAATTGGGACAGCCTCTGCGTTATTTCCGTTAAGCGTCGGGTGCTCAATCTCTTCTCTATTGTTTGATGGGCTACTTGTCTCGCTAATCTTCGATCGTCTTCCAAATGCCTGGTGTTTCAATGCACTTCCTTAGGGGTTTGTTTCCTCAGGGTGTGGTTGAATCCTCCACAAGTTACAATACGGTACAGGTGCTCCGTGGTCGAACGAAAGGTTCAGGTTAGTGGAACATAACCCTGTGCTCTGTTGCCCACACGAGCAGTTACTCGTTGTGTATATTTCTGTCAGAGCAAGCAGTTCGGTTTTAAGCCCGCTTTGCGATTTGTAGATTTGTCAATAGTTATCAGGAATTAATCGCCTCAGTCCTTTCTTCTAATATATAACACAAAACACACCTGCCTTCGTATCTAAGCTATACCGCCACGAACAGACTGAACCTAACGGTAGTGTGACGGTTTGCGCACCTCAGTAATCCATTGAGCTATACTGGGAAGTGGCTCCGCGACACTCACAGAGTCTTTCATAACAGGTTGGTTAATGGTTAGAGGTCTCCTGGCCCTACATTTGGGGGTTCGAACATGTGGAGCTTTGTTCCGTAGAAACGGTAATGTCTTTGCATTTCCGCCAAACGCCGCTTTGGTTGAGGACCCTAATCGTCCTCCAGTCTAGGTGTGGGCACCCTGACAGTATCCCAGCCCTCGTACATTTATGACAACTAGTACGACAGTGAAGCATCGGTTTTGAACACTGATGTCACGCTGTCGATACTGATGATGATCTAAACTATATCAATTTAATATTTCCTTAATCGTATTCGGAATCCCGGTCTTCGTGACGAAACTCAACTAAACGTGGTAAACAGTGCTTTTTGGCGAAGCTGCAGTAGCTGGCCTCCGGTGGAGCACCCCTACAAGCTTCCAAACTTGATTTGACCAAGAAACTGAGAGAAGCTTACTCACTGTTGCATAAACTCCGGGCTGACGAACTACAGAGCGATCTATGACGTATACTAGGGTTGCCTTTTCAATAATTTACCTCATCTTTGAAAGTGACACCAATATGAAACGCCCCTAGTGCTAGAGAGCATTTGGAGCGTCCATTCCCAACCCCATTCAACCTAATTTCATTTCTCACGAGTAAGGTATGCCTTTCCATCTTTTAGACGACTTTCAAGTTTTACACAAATTTGCTCAGGTCGAGTGGCAACTGTAGCTCACACAAGAGAAAGCAGAAAACCGCGTTACTATCACGAGCATCGTACAGAGCGGTGAGATTTTACTGGGTGACTCGTTAAGTAAGGGGAGGTTTATCGCGTTCGGTTTCTACACCAAAACTGTTAAATGTAAAGGAGTTTAGGAAAAACACATCGTTCGACTAGAACCAAGGACCTTAGGTTCTGCACCGACCAAGCTACCGTCTAACAATTCATACCAAGATAGTTTGGGTATCTGGATGATATCAGCGTCTGACCCATTGAGAAAGATCTCGGGAGGCCCACTACTAGTGGTTTCGTCATTCAGTCTTGTAGCCCAAGTGCATACGTGTGATGGATAGCAACTGTCTGTAGGACATGATAGGTAAATATTCTTGGATCACGAATGCGAAATCGTGAAGTGCGCACATCTGCAGGTGTCAACCAGAGGATCTACTCTATAGCAGTTTTTCAGCGTTGTAAAAGGCAACCAACTGTTAGGCTTGATATACATTTCACTCTTTTCATGGTCGGCCAAAAATAACTTATGAAAGGGACGTTTAACAAGGCCCAAGGGACCAACCAAAAGTGGTTTTCCATGCGGCAGTTTCTCCATTTAGTGTTAGCGCACTTCTAAATGTATTCTCACCGCTGTTTTCTTGAGAATGGTTCCGGGTAATTAGAGTTGAGTCGTCAGGCAGTAGTTCAGTCTGAAGCACTAAAGAGTCAGCTTTGAGCGCTGGGGTTGCTTCTAATGAGTTAATTTATGATTGTTTTTTTCCACTGATTCCAATCCCAACAATATCGATTTGTTAAACGTCACAACGGACAACAGCCCCGTAACTATTCTATCACAGTTTCCCATGTTAATGCTCTTGATTATATTGTTTTACAAGGTCATCGTACGTACCTCTGTATCCTAATGTCTGATGTACGGTTACTGTGTCAACACAGCAGAAGAATGATCCATGCTTGGGAACCGAGTCAATGGGTCATTTGAACGTTTACCAACGGTTGACGTCCGGGTTCCCCCGA